CCTTGCAGACTGTTTTCTTTTTAAACTGAATGATAAAATTGTACTCTGATATCAACCTTGAGATTAAACTTTGAATTCTCTTATCATGATTTGGGTTTGGTATATTCAAGAGATCTACGTTCAAGAGATCTATATGATCTTTTGGATGTGGTTACAAACCTAAAGTGATTTTCCGCTTCTTTTGTTCCTAAGGATGAGGAATGTAAAGAAAAAGTGGGAATAGATTTACACCTTTTTCTCCTTTCACCCTAGGATTCCCAACATCTCCTTTCATTCCTTGTTTTCAAGATTTGCCGGGTGGTCCCATAAATCCTTTCGTTCCCGTTTTTCCCTTAGTTCCCCTTGGACCGCGTCTACCCCGATTTCCCGGAGTTCCTTTTAGACCCCGAGGTCCTGCCACGCAAACTTTACCAGGGGAGAGGCAGTGGGTCCTTATGGACTCAGTAACAATGGAAGTCAGGTACTTCCTGACTGCAGCGTCGGATTCTCCTCGATCAACGATTCGCAGTTAAGCTGGTCGCTTCGGTTGGCAGTTAAGCTGCGACGAACAATTTTGACGTCGTGCTTCGTACCTAAAGAAAACTGCAAGGGCTAATGTTTTTTGAAAATGTGTGAAGGAATTATTCTCCCATTTTAAACATCGATTACATATGATTTAAGATGTGCAAAGCGCTTCCTGCCTCAGTATCATGACTGAAAAAAGGAAGTTACTTTGTGTTGCCGCGTAACGAGGGGGGAGGGTGGCATTGGGGTTTGCGGTTTTCCGATTTTGGCAATTTTTTTTGGACAGTTTTCGATTTTTGTGCCAAAAATGTTGGTTTTTCGGTTTTTTTATTTATTGCGTTTTGCGAATTCTCCGTTTTCAACATTTGGTTTTTGGTTTTTGACAAGTAGTCGCATTTGTTATCCAGTGTGCTTTTTCGGTTTCTCTTATTGGAGTTCCGCTTTCGATCTGAGCAGCAGTTATACTCCTCTGCTTATTTCGAATAGCTGCGAAACCTATGTTGTTCCACTTGTAGCCACAGTATCAGATCGATTAGGAATTTGACAACTGAGATGTGCAAATTTATCGGTTTAGAAAGTTTTGCATGCGGTTTTCGGTTTTGATCGAAACCCCTCTTCTGCGGTTTTGCGGTTTCTGATAGACCCTAAGCCCCCCTCCTTAACTGGTTCTGAGCAGGCGGTGTGCGCACTCTGATTGCGTTGCATAATGGTTGTAAACAAAACATTGAGTCATTTGCATATTGACGTGTTGGGGTGATCATCTTTGATGGCAGCGAGATACAGCGTGAATTCCGTGACGAATTCGTTGTTAGGAGGCAATTGACGTTGTTTAGAAAGATTCGAAACTATAACCTGCCTAAGAATCTCGACCCAAATGGCAACAGTCGCACTCACGACTGATGGACTGGTGGGATGAATAATTTCAAAGTTAGCACTTATTTTCTTAGACGCGAGTTTTTCAACTGTGAATTGACCCTTGACATGCAAACGCATATTAGAAAGACAGACACCTTATACTAGACGAACTTTTTCAACCAAGCGTAAATACAATGTTTGTAAAAGGAGAAGCCTCACGCCTCCCGCTAAGAGCGAATTTGTCGAGCTCTACGTTTAGTGAAAACGTACAGAGTTTCAAAATACCCTTCGAGAATAGAGGAAACCTATATGAGGGTTTTGAGAAACGTATCTCTGGAGTTATTACTTCAGGAGAGAAGTATACTCTGAAACAAAGAAAATAGCGCGCGCACAGAAGAAAATA